TGCGGAATCTCCCTGGGGTTGGGAAGAGATGGGACCCAGGGGCTTACGGAACCCTGTGCACTTTGCTGGGCTAGATGAGTCCCGCGAAAGGATTCGTGCTGCCTTGGCCACAGATCTTCCTTTGGCATTCGAAGATTCGAAGAGAGTGTGGCGAAACGGCTTGAGATGGCGAGGATCTTGAGCGCCTGGGAGGCCGCAAAGCTCCACCTTGAAGTGAGCGAGAAAAATCGTGCGGAGGCCCGTTTTGGCACGCAGCAGAGGTTGCTCCAGCCGAGTGAGCAGCACGGCGTGCGCGTAGCCGTGGAAGCAGTCCTCGGGAAACTCAAGGACAAGGAGGTGCCATCACGTTCACTCCTTGCTGCTAAGCTTGAGCAGATTGAGTCAAATCAACCCGTCGTGGAAAACCTTTAAGAGGTTGCTTCGCTGGAGGACAGCGAGCTGGAGACATACTCAGCGGTCATCGATCCGATGACCAATGTCCTGAAGGTGAAGCCTGGGAAGACCTTAACCGCCTTAACCTCCCTGCCTCAAACGCCCGAGGAGCTTCGACTACGCCACCGACGCATTGGACTCTCCTGGGATTTCTTGGCAACTAAGCACTCAAGCCGCTCTTGGCTCAGCAAGAATCTCACCGACACTCTTCGGCGCTTCAGTGACTACATCTTGGGTGTGCAAGTTGCGGGCTTGCAAACTGGGGATGGGCGAAAGCCTACTTGGTCATTGGTGTTGCAGTTTGAGCATGAGGCGCGCAAGGCGGCTTACAAGTGGCTCCGGGATGGAAAGGTGGCTACACTCGATGCAGCCTTCAGTCGGGCTATGGTAGATACTGAGGTGCTGCAACGACATCTTATCATCCCGTTCTCGCTGAATGTCTCAGCAAAGCAGCAGGACGACATGCCCAATTCTTGGGTTGAACGACCTCCCAGGGGAGGGCGAGGACGTGGACGGGCCACCGGTCGGGGCACAGGTGGCAAGGGCTTCGCAATCAAGAGCTCAAGAACAACAACACAGATCCTTTGGAGCCCAAGGGGAAGCTCACTAAGGATGCCAATGGTGAGCCTATTTGCTGGTGCTACAACCGGAAGGGAGGCTGCTCTAATGAGCAGTGCCGTTTCAAACATGTTTGTCAGCGCTGTTTTTCAAGCACCCATGCCTACTACAATTGCCCCTTGGTCAAGCGCCCCACGGGGGGCAACTGACTCGATGCTCCAGATGCTTTCGATGGTTCTGGTGGTGCGTGCAAGGTCGGAATTCCGACTTTGCAAGGTCGGAAATCCGACCTTGCTCAAAAAGGCAGAACAAGTGCCAAAAAACGAGTCCGCCGCCGAAGACTGCGGAAAAACTCGTGGACGTCTCACGCAGGCAGCGGCAGCGGAAGCCCGCTTCTCTCAGCGCTTGCCGGTGCTGCTCGGTCGCCCGAGCATAGGCTTGCGGAACATAAGCAGCGAGCGCCCACATGCTGCCCTCGTGCGGTTCCACCATGTGATAGCGGCGGGCATCAAGTCCCACGGAGCGTAGCGCAGTTATGTTTATCCTGGTCTAGCGGAGCCGAAGGCACAGCGAACTTGCAGTTTTAAATATAAGGCTTTTGCTTTTCACAGCCTATCTTTCCTTTTTACATGTGATTTGATGCTGTA